TAATAGGTTGGGATGGCTCATAACCAAGCCACCACTCTCAGGTCTTTAATTGGTTCAGCAAACCCTCCACACATTCACTGTGTAATTGGGTGTTTCAGAGATGTGATCTTTCCTTGGTCACCGCTAGAGGATAGCTCTCTGTATCCTGAAGAATCACACCAGGATCATGTTTGCATTTTAAACAGTTACCCGGTCAAAGCAATTTTGAAGCAATACGTTTTCAGAGAGGAATCCCACTGGTCTGAAATTCTTTCCCTGATAGTTCAATCCTGTAAGACCTTTCCATTCAAAACCCAAGTGTCTATATTCCTTCTGGATCTCCTCTGTCTAGGATTCCTCTCCCTTACCTTCTTGTCCCACCAGGATACAGATCTGTGGGTGAGTGCCAATTTGTTCTCCATCAACTTGCAGTGAAGAAACATATGAGCTGATATAATTCACCTAGAAGACTTTATAACTGGATAGACAAGAAATGACAATGTCCCGAAGAAATAAGAGGAAGTGATGGAGAAGAAAGACTGAGTTTAATAGGATTTGATAACCAACTAGACATGAAAGAAGAGTAAGGAGGAGTCTGTATGGGATTGAATAATAAATGGAAAAAGTAACCAAGGGAATTAGAGATGGGAAAAAAAAGAGATAGTTATGTAGAATTAGATAATTAATTGAAAAATTGGGCAGGATAAGGAAAGCTGTATCCCTTCTCTCCCACTAGCCAACCTCTCACTTTCAACTTTGAAACTCATACCCAAGTCTGTTGCCTAGGAATTGTTCAAAAACAGATGCTGTGACATCTCAGAGAAGAACATAAACGAATGTGCAGGATTTCATGTGAGTTCGTTGCTAGGAACGAGTGTATGAGTGTGGACCAAGTTTAGAATCCCTTCTCTAAGTAAGAGTGACCTGGAACACTCATGAGCCTGGGCAAAGTAATGCCTTGAGTAGCCTGTGGGGGAGTTAAGAAAACAGGTCAGTTCACTTACCTGGTATTTCTTTTGAGGGAAACTGTGACTGACGACCAATCCTTTAAGAGAAATTGGGATGAAAGTTGCTAAATTATCAACAAAGCAAATTTTATTCAGAATATTTAGTTTTGAGAAATTTCCATATAATACAACTATAGGTCAGCACTACTCTAGTGGAATACAGGCAATTAGAATATCTGTGGCCTCATCTCATTTTTGTACAGCATCACGGGAAAGCCACTGTAGATTTTCCAGGGGCGCTTAGCTCAACATCATCATACCCAGGGTACCCTTCTTCCCCCTGGAGCAGCCAAGGGCTATCTTCTCCTTTCCCAGGATCAGCCGCCTCTCTAGGGAACTGTAGAGAAGAGCCTAAAACAGTAAAGAAAAGTTTGATTATAACTGTGACAAAGGAATAAGACAGTGCTCCACGGTGGAAGCAAGTCAAGTAAGTGATGATGAAAAGCACCCCTGAGGACCCACTAAAGCTCAGGGAGGCACAGAGTAGTTAATATTAGTTACAACAAGGATAAATCAGGGCTATCCTATCAGGATTCAGTCCATGTGGGTCTCTAGGGCCTCAGTTTATCTGAGAAACACTGGATCACAGGAGATCTGTGGCCAACACAGGTGCTCTGTGAAGACTCGTTTCCTGGCTTACAGAATCAGCAAGGAGATGGCACAAGAGTAGTAATAATCACAAGACAGATGTGAAAAATCTTCCTTTCACAACTGACAAGTCTGAATTTACAAGTAGAAGGAGACCGGAGACCACATCTAGAGAAATCTTAGTTCCTCACTGACAGTTCTAACTCAGCTCTAACTCAGCTCTTGGTGTCCTGACTTGTGTTCCAAAACACCCAGAAAAACAATCAGAGGATCCTTCCATTGTTGCTCCTCCCCAAGAAATCACATGGGCGCTAAGATGCAGAAATACTCTTCTCTGGAGAATGAGAGCCTTCATTTAACTGTTGCAATGTCTGGAGCAGATTAGCCCTTAGCTGCACACAATTCTGAGTTTATAATCCACCACCATGGCTTTAATTTTTAAGGCCACCATATATCATAGACTTTGTTCATATCAGTGGTAACATGATCACAGTGCATCTTGAGTTATCAAAATTCCTCACAATTTTCAAAAGTGCATTAATTTTTAAATCCATTACTGCTTTTCACATATGAGTCAACACAAAAATGTTATCAGAACAGTTGTTCCAGTTTTGGATTTGGTAAATATGCTCAATTAATCTGTAAGTATTAATGCAGGCACATCAAGGATAAGGTTATGGAGACATAGATACCAGGAATATAGAGTGATTCCTCCCTCCCAAGAAATCTGACAATATTAAAGGAAGGAATATGGATGAGGTTATGCTATTAAACATATGAGGTCATCCAAATTTTGAATCTACAGGAAAAATGGGCATTGATTCACCCTTTCCAGGACAGAGACAAAAGATTATAAGAGATCAATTAACCCTGCTCACCTGTCTGAGAGGCACTCATGCCATTCCCCTCTTCTGGGGGCACATCCCCCTCACTCATATGAGAGGCAGGAGGAGCCTCAGGCACTGGTACCTCTTCAACATCATCATAACCCTCACTAGGGGCATCAGTCCTCGGAGCTGGGGGTTCTAAGGGCAGACAAGGGCATTGGGTGAAACCAGCATACATGGATTGGCCTAGGTAATACCTAAAATCCCTCTGACCTGGAGGTTCTGATGGCTGCTAAATAGAGGCACCATTCACTCTGTGACTGAACAGGTCTTTTCCAAGACCATACATTGCATTTTGATATGCCCATAAGGCAGGAAAATGTTCCAAATAACTCAATATCTCTTGATTAAAGCTATGCATTTCAAAAATACTCTTAAACCAATGAGCATTACTAAAATATTCTGACAGATTATGCCTTCCATATGTTATTTTTTAAAATAATGTGTGCATGTGGTGACTGAATAAGGGTCGTTGTGGACAGAGAGCCCAGTCTCAACATGAGGCATCACAGAGCAGCCAGAGAAGGAGAAGACTGGACCCCAGCTGGAGACAAGAGACCCCTCTAATCCCAGTCAAAGGAAGACTGTTCCCCCTGGATCTCTTCTCTATGATGGAAATTCTCCTGCCCCCAATACCCAGCAAAGGCAGATCCACTTCTCCTACCTTGAACGCATGTATAGTCAATGTTCTCTGCACCATCACCAGTATAATATGGCAGGTTAGTCACTGATTCATCTGACAGGGACCCTAATGTGGAGAAAAACATCACAAAAACAAACAGAACAACCGTCCGCACACCCATTGACTCTGCGGTAAGGCTGAGATGCAATGCTGGCACAGGCTTGGCTCCTATAGTATAAAGGGAAGTCTCGTAGCTCACAGTGGCTTTGGAGAGCCCAATTCTGGTGGCCTTTGTAGAAGGCTGTCTCTGTGAGCCTGGGATAGATGTGGGGTCTGCAGGTGCTGAGAAGACTTGGCTCATAGCCAGTGTGTGGCTGACAACCAGAGATCCCAGGAAGGCAAGGCAGGGACACACACCTGGGCTGCCCAGCAGATCCTCCATCTTCGGTGTTACAAGAGAATCAATCTCCTCGTACACAGGCTCATCAACAGCATCTTCGAAACTGGCCAAGGCTGAGCAAACCACAAGCAGGTGAGAGATTGCCACCCGAGACACCCCTGAACCAACAGGCTAATCCTTCATTGTCCCTGATGCTCACATGCGGAAAAACCCTCAGGGCTGCCAAACCCTTTTATAGTTCATATCCCATGCACGATGTCTGCACCTTCTACCCTTGTCTGCCCTTGTATCCACAGCTCAGCCCCTACTCTTTCTTGTCTCACATGAGAGGCCATGACTTATGAATCCTAAGGACCTCTGTATATTAAGCCCTTAGAGTTTAACATGGGGCAGATAGAGTGCAAACTAATGTGGTAAGAACAAAGAGCTTGCCCAGTTTTCCGCTTGTCACACCCGGCCCCATTTCCTGCCTCTACACACTTTCCATGTTACCCAATGCCCCCTATAGCCCACCTCTGCGCTCCACTCTCCATCTGTGCAGCTGAGTCACCAGGATGACAAGGACCAGGAAGAGAAGGGCCCCCAGGATGAGGCAGAGGATCCCAGGCAGGGAGAAGATGGCAGAGACAGGATTGGCGCCTGGTCTGGTCCCTAAGGAGAACAAAGCCAATGGGCATAGGGAAACTCCCTTGTGCCAGCATTTCCAGAGATCTCAGGACAATGAAGTCCACTCTCAGACATAACGGGATCACCTGTGACCCTGGGGGGCACCCCCCATGCCTTGTCCTGAAATAAATTCAGCCCCCCTCCACTGTGGTCCAAGGGGGTGCTCAGGATTCTCAGGGAGCTTTCCTGCTACAAGAGCCTCTAGGGGTCAGGGCACACAACTGCAGCCCCTTTTCTTCGGCTTCACCAGACCAGAGCATCAAACAACTCCTGGTATAGGCATCTTGCTGCTGAGGAGAGACACTCATGGGCAGGTGGAAAAATCTTAGATTCTGCAACACAGGAACCAGCCTCCCTTGGACAAAAGGCATGAGAAACTTCTGGCACAGTGGTCCAAGGAAGGGGAAGTTTCCCCAAGGAAAATGCCCTGATGCCTCCCCACCAGCCAGTGGCTCCTCAGGATCTTTCCTTTCCTGAGTTGACTAATTCTGTCAGAGATTCCACAGAACGGGTCCCAAGAATCTGAACATTCTCGCCTGCCCATGGATTGTGGCACTCTACCTGCTGTAGTGGGGAGCAATGTTGTTCTTTTACCTAGAGAGAAAAACAGGAGTTTGGAGCACAGAAATTGGTCAGAGTGCAGGACAGCCCATTTTTCCTGCCTGAGCCCTGAAATCACCCCTCAGTTACCACAATATCAATATTGAGTCCTCCCAACTCCCCTCTCATAGATCCACGGCTACAGCACCTAGATGCTTTCTGAATAAAACTCTCCATCTTACTCCAGCCCAGCCCATTATCCTGCCCCCACCCCTGCAAAACCAGGGTCAAAGCCAAGCTCCTCCACTCACCAGAGCACCTCACTCCAGCATCCTCCTCATGCTTGCAGTTGCTCTGCCCCCAGGGCTTCGCAGCACAGGCCCACAGGGAGGACTCCCTGCCCCTGCACTGCACCTCATCCAGCCAGATCCTCCCATTTCCTGGGCCAAACGCCGCCTTCGGCAGGGCGTCCAGGGCAGAGCCACAGCCCAGCTGCTGACACACCACCTCGGCCTCTGCCAGGCTCCAGGAGTCATCACACACGGTGCCCCAGGTGCCCTCGTGCCAAACCTCCACTCTCCCTGAGCACTTGGTGTCTCCTCCCCTCAGTCGGAGCTTCTCTTTGTCTGAAAAGGCAGCAGCGCCTCCTGTTACCACCCCTGGTGGGAAGGAAGCAGCCCCTGGGAGCCAACAGGGGAGGTAGGAGGGGCTGATGTACCTGTGCAGGGGGCAGCAGTTGGACAGCTCTTGGGTCTCATTCCTGCAGAAGCAGACAGTGGGGAAGCACTGGATCAGGGACAGCTGGGGGCGGTCTGGTCCACAAACAAGATTACCTAAGGTCCGTGGATCAGTCCAAATGACAAGCAAAAATAACAGGCTTCATAATTAATCTACTGGGCTGGGTTACTGACACCTTCACTGGATGTAACCGCTTGTCACCAGCTGAAATTATTTTATCTGTTTACTCATCTATCACTCTCCACATTCCACAACAAATACAAACACAGACATGAATACACATAACACACACACTCACACACACCCCTGAATGAAAGTTCCACGAGAGGAAAGACCTTGCATACCTTATTCACCTCAGTGTTTCTGCTATCAGGACAGTGCCTGGCACGTTGTATGCATTCATTCAACAAGTATGTACAGAAAACCTTCTATAAATACTATGTATAGGGGCTTGATAAATATTTATTGAATGAGTGAATAGACGAATAAAATCCAGTGAAATATAATTCCTTTAAATTCTTGCCAGTCAGTAAGACAATAAAGGAAATACAAACTAGTATTAATGGTTTGTAGTAATAAATAGTGAATATTAAAAAAAATAAGTCGAGAATCACAGAAGTAATTTGTATTCAATATTCTACTTATACTTTTTAAAGGGATATTATATAACAGAGTCTATACTTTTCTTACCTATTTTTCAGTATGACATATGGACAAGCAAAGGAGGGAAAGACCTATATTATAGTGAAAGACCTTTTTTTAAAGGAATAGAACAAGTAGAATTTAAAGAAAGATAGATAAGTAGACAGATAGCTAGCTCGTAAGACATAAATATCTGAATGTGCGTCAAATAAATACACTGAGAAAAACTACATTAAGAGAACACAGAGATAACTCAGGACCAAAAAAACACATAAAAGAATTGAAACCAGAGGAAATAGACATAAATTCAAAACAACATGAGAAAACAGAAGTACGTATGATACTTGTCATACCATATTAGAATTGGCATATCCTTTCCATATAATCCTATCAAACCTCCTACCCTAAGCAGTGAACATCTTTGAAAATGATGGCAGGACCTCCTTTGGGTTGTTGCTCACTTTCAGGATTGGAGACCTCACTACCTCTCAACTCATCACGTTTGATTATAGAAAATTATCATCTATATTAAGTCTTATAGTTTAATATCTCTTCACCCTTCCACAGCAGCAAGAAAAAGAGGTGAAGAAAGAGAGGCAAGGAAGGGAGTGAGCCTCTGCCTTCGAAATGTCTATGGCCACACTCTCCCTCAGCAGTGGATTTCAAGCAACTCTTAGCATAGCACCCAAGGTAAACCAGAATGATGTGTGTGTGTGTGCGTGTGTGTGTGTGTGTGTGTCCGTCTGTCTGTGTGTGAAAGAGAGAGAGAAGAGACAGAGAACCAAGTGGCATGAAAAAAATGTTGAAGGAAGAGAAAACACTGAAACTACAAAGGAAGGAAGGAAGGGAGAGAGATGAAGGAAGGTAAGGAGGGAAGGAAGGAGGAAAAAAAGAAGGAAGGGAGGGAGGAAGGAAAGAAGGAAGAGAAGAAGGAGGGGAGGGAGGATAGGAAGGAAGGAGAAAGAAACCAGGAGCAAAGCAACTGCCATCTTTATTTCAGACTTCAAATATCTTAGGATGACTTGTGGGCTTTGTAAGCTTAATGATTTTGGAGCTTCTATACGATTTGGCTTTAGCTTAATAGTCAAGTTATCGAAAAATTCAAGGATTTTCTATCTAGATATGAAGAAGACAACTGAAAATAATTTGTCTTGGGGCCTGCCTGGTGGTGTAGTAGTTAAGCTCACACGGTCCACTTCGGCGGCCCGGGGTTTTGCAGTTTCAGATCCTGGGTGTGGACATACGTGCCACTTATCCAGCCATGCTGTGGCAGGCATCCCACATATAGAGTAGAGGAAGATGGGCACGGATGTTAGCCCAGGGCCAATCTTCCTCAGCAAAAAGAGGAGGATTGTCCACAAATGTCAGCTCAGGGCTAATCTTCCTCACCAAAAAATAAATAAATAATAATAATAATTAGAATTAGAAAGTAATTTGACAATATATATTAAAATTTATGTGTCTGTCTGCTCATGTGTATGTGTATATATATCCTTTGATGTACTACTATCAACACTGTGGGTAATCCTATAGCAATAAATTCACCAGTATGCTGAAATACATGACAAAAATATTTATCGCAAAATTGATTGTAGAGGGGAAAAATTTGAAAACAATTGGACTACCAATATATAGGCAATGGTTATAGGAACTGTAGTACCAATCTCTCATGAACAAAATATAAGGCCATTGTTTTACAAATGAGTTATACCTACCTGGAGGAATATCCATGATATGTTATTAAGTGATAAAAGCCAATTTAGCAATAATGTGTATGATATAATCCAAATTTTGTAAAACAAGACATCATCAAGATCAATTCTTTTATGAGTATGAGTTTGAATATGTTTTTATGAAAATGGAAGAATTTGGAAAATAGTATATATCAGTCTATTAGTCCTATTAGACATCAGGAAGGAGTCATAGGATATGATACATTTCACTTTTTACATTTTATATGTCTTCCCTGCTTACACTAAGTAAGTAATGTTTTTGTAATTTAAATGAAAGAGAAAGGAATCAGTCTCTCTCTAAGCATAAAACAAACTAGTGGAAAAGACACAAACTCCCTAGTGCCAAGGGTGCTACAAGCCTAGCAGGAGCAAGCATGGTTGATTCAGGGAAGAGACACAGAGACCGGCAAAACGAGATATAAGAGAAGGTGGGCTGGCCATCCCTTCACGCCTCCAGTGTCTTTTGCCTGATAGTAGTGTTCGTTCCCCAGGGGACCATCACCAGGGTGAGATTTCCTCATGATAACTACTAAGAGTGAACCCAAACCTGCCTCCTCATAACCTCCATCCATCAGTCAGTGTCCCGCCCTCTGGAGCAGCTCATGGTGAGTCTCCTCCCTCTTTCATGGGAAAGTCCTTCATAATCTGAGGTCAACAATCAGCCACATCTACTCCGGCATTTATGCTAATTAGCCTGACTATAGACTCCCTGTGACATGGTTTTCAGTAGTTTTTGCACTTGAGACACATGCACCTAGACAATGAAATGCGTCAGTGTCACTTTTACAGGTAGTTCACCCTACTATGCATCAACAAATTAATCAATGTGGTAATTAGAATAAATTTATTTCCAGCATTGGATACAACACTTCAGCACCTTACTTTTAATTCTTTGCCCTTTACAGTTTTTCAAAAAAGTTGCGTCTATTTTTCACCATCATTTTATTCTTTGATACTTTTATTTCTGGTTTCTACCCCTCACCCTTAAAAGTGTTCTCATTAAGGCATTCGATGACATATAATGACCTAAATCTATTGAGCACTTTTCAGTTCTCATTTACTTAATGTCCTAGTTGAATTTAACACGTATGACCATCTCCCTTTCCTTGAAAACTTTTTTTAACCTGACTTCCAAACACGGTATTTTCTGGATTCCTATTTCTCTGTCTGCTCTGCATCAGATCCCACGCCAGTTCATGGTGCACTACCCTGCTTTTAAAAGTTAATGTTCCTTGGATTCTGTCCTAGGAATGTTTATTTTCCCAGTGATATCATCCACTTTATCTAAACATCTCTACAACAATTCCCAAATTTATATCTCCCACCCAGATTCCCTTTCTAAAATCAAATTGCATACTTCTATATGCCTAATGACATCTTCATTTCAGTGTTCTCATTCACTTTGAATTCAACATATTCAAAATGGAGCCCATGTATGTCCTCCCATGAGTTTCTGTGTTTCCTAATCAATAAAAGGCACTGCCATCCTTTTAGCAGTCACCCTTGACTCCTGTAAACTGTCCAAGTCACCATTATGCATCTACATTTCCTCTGCAATAATCCTTTATCTTATACTCAAAGGATGTTTTCTTAATGCAAAACTGATTAGTTTGCTTTCCAGCTTAAAAACATTTCAGTTAGTTTTGATTACACCTTCATGAAAGTATTTGTAATTTTGACTACATAATCAAAAAGCTGATTTATTCATTCAAGAACCATCAAATAGGGGCCGGCCCGGTAGCGCAACAGTTATGTGCGCCTGCTCCGCTGCAGCGGCCCCGGGGTTTGACCGTTCAGGATCCTGGTGCGCACCGACGCACTGCTTATCAAGCCATGCTCTGGCAGTGTCCCATATAAAGTGGAGGAAGACGGGCACAGATGTTAGCCCAGGGCCAATCTTCCTCAGCAGAAAAGAGGAGGATTGGCAGATGATAGCTCAGGGCGAGTCTTCCTC